CCAATGATTTGGAGGGGTGTCCCAATACTTTTGGCAATATAGTGTAGCTGTTTATTTGCTGTGTCATTTTATACAGGATGCATACATTTCAGAAATATGAGACGCAGGTCTTGCTGTGTGCAGTTACACCTTTAGGATGGTTGCTTCTCTTCCAGGGTCTCCTCACTGCCATCCTTACATGCAAAGAGTAGGGACCGGCACAAAGATAGCTTTGTAAGTGAACTGCAATGCTGATCCACCGACCAGATTTTAGACTGACATGGTTTCCCTGTAATCAGCCCTTGTTTGTGGGATGTAAACAGTGTGTACTCCCTGACAGGAAGATTGGTAAAGCAGAGCAGAAACTGATACATGGCAGTCATCTTCACAAAGGATGAAAGGAGATGTTCGGGTGCAGAAAAGAGCTGAAAGTCCAGCTGTTAACATGGAGATTGGGGGGAATATGAAATAATAGGTGAGTGTTAATTTCTTCTTACATTTTTTAACTCACCGTCCTGCTGCTTCCAATGTTTCTTCCTGCATCTAAGCCCAATTTGTGGGTGTGTCAACTGTTGAGCTGTAGTAGTGCTCAGTGGCCAACACATGCTCAAAAAACTGTTGGGTGGGGGCAGAAGGACTTGGGCCCTGTCAACCCGGGGTATCTGCTGCTACAGCACATAGAAAGATAGAATAAAGTGCTATGCACACTAGAGAGCCATGTACCATGCACTTAAGTGATTTGTTAACTGGTCGCAGGCCATAGTGAAATGTTTCAACATTTTACATTTTTTATACTGAATAGCATAATGAACATTTTTCTTCCTAAAGCCACTGAATACCAGTGGGAGGGAGAAGAGGAAGTAGGCTTTCAGTATTTGTATGAGGAAATGGAGAGGACTGGTTTCTGTGTATGTCATCCCTGCTACCCCTCCTGTCAAAGTGTAAAACAGAAGTGACAAAGAGGCCACATGGGAACCCTGGAGCATGGGGCGGGGTTGCCATTGTGACCCCTGAAGCTACACCAGTATTCGGGAAGGGGGTTTCTAAAAAAAAGTCTCAACTTTGGGGTTTACCATCCCCAAACCGCAAATTCAAGCAAGCTCTTAGTGTCCTGATCCCCCTATAAGGCTTGCTTTAAACTGATGCGCTGTAGTTTACCTGCTTAGTGGGTGCAGCACAGTGCACTTGCTGCTTTCCTGTGGGTTAGCTGTGCCTTGCCATAGACTTCTATTATATCGTGCGGGTGTGGTGCACTATCTGAAAGTCATTCAGGAGTTTTGGTGCGTTTTCAGAAAACGCACTAAATCCGCAGGATATAGGTCTATTGCTAAGTGCAGCTAATCTGCAGGAAAGCAGCAGGTGCACCCGTTGATCAGTGTGAAAGCAGCCTAACAGCCCTTTTATAGGTGCTAATATGCCCATTGCAAAAGCACAGAGTATCTGTTGTTTAATACACTAACCTTCTTTTCCTCTTCCAAATTCTGCTAGCATTGCACTCCAGGCTGCTAGAAAGGTGACAGGTGGATTGCACTTGGTATCACTCCACCTGGGACAGGAGTCAATGCAGAGGAAGCATTGACTTATGTGGCTCCCACTCCCTCTGCCTGCTTTCTTCCAGTGCCAGCTCAAAGCACTCTGATGCTCTGGGATGGTGGGTAGGCAAGGCCAGATCACGATTAACGAGTTGCTGAACCCGGGCATGCTCTTCCATGGTTTGAGGTCATCGGCCACATCATAGGGCGGGCCATGGGTTGAGCACCCTTGATGTACACCATGTGCTCTGGGGGACCAGAAAAACTGAAAAAGGGGGTGAGACTCTTTTTTTTAAGCGCTGTGTCCCTGATAGAAAGATTTGTCTCAGTTTACAGTTCATCTGATCTTTAACAGATTTAAGATCTTTAACTGTGTTCAGAATTAACCTGTGTTGTTCTCCACATCTCTCCCTGCAGGATCAGTCTACTGTTTCAGACCTAGGCCCTATACTGGAGTTCTATTCATCTTTGCAAAGTTTTCAAAATTTCCAGACAACTGAATTAAAGTATAACTAAAGGCAAACCTTTTTTCTTTTAGTTTTGGATAGAGTGGACAGGCATTAGAACACCTGTCAGTTTGTATTGCTGTCTGTGCCCCCCGTTAGGGAGATTTGCCCTCTCCATTTGTCCTGTTTACCATTATCATTGAAAGTGAAAGTAAAGAAAATCTCAAATGTGGGGTTGTTCCCAAAACGTAATAGAGGGGAAATCTTACAATGGGGACACTAGATCTGGTGACCTGGGGGTTCCCAAGGAATTCTCCTAATTTGCAGGGATTTTCTCTCACTAACTTTTTGGCTGTGAAACAGGAATTGAAGGGAAATCTCTGAAATGTGCCACATATGGCAACACAAATAATCTGAAACCCCTTCCAAAAATGAAAACAAAAAAATGCCTGTAGTTCTACTTAGTCTTTACAAGTCTGTGTGTTTAGATATTGCTGGACACTTCCTCTGAGGTCTGGGGAAAGCTACTTAAACCTGCTCAGTTCACTTATTAGTTGCCTCTCTGAGTATATATTTCCATGTACCTGTATCCATGATCCCTGTTCCAGTTCTGGTCCATGTTTATGACCTTTACCTGTATCTCCATGATTCTTATTATCTGCCTACTCTGACCTCATTCCTGTTTTACCATGTTTTTACTTGCTGATTTTGTACTACGCTTTGTTTTGTGTCTGCTGTCAGCTGTTGCCACTCCAAGCGTAACCAAGGTCTGTCCATAGCAAAGCCCATCATCCATTGCAAGGTGCTCTCCTAAACACTGGGTGGTTCCTTAGACCCTACACTTCAGCCCTGTTTAGGCCTAAATTCCCTTGGTAACACAGAATGTTCATTGTGTCCATTGTCTCATTGTCTGCAAATGTAATGAGGCCTATTTGACCTTCTCCATTGACCACCAGCATAATGGGTCCTTCTCCTCTGAACGTGAAACAGCCAATGCAAAGAATACAGTAAAGGGCGTTTATACTGATCACCAATGTGAAGATGAATTTTTCATTAATCAACAGTAAAGAGGTGGCATTTTTCCTGTGACCACCAAAGTAAAAAATAATTTTTTTCAGTGATTATCAACACAGGGCCTTTGACCACCATTTAAAAGGAACTTTTGTTTGAGGACCTTTTTTCCTGAGCACCAAAGGCAAAAAGCAATAGCGGGGATGCACAGGTTATCACAGCCCCCCATAACTGAGGTATATAAATATATATGCAATGTAGGTTGCTATTACAGTTGTGCTCAAAAGTTTGCATACCCTAGCAGAAATAATGAAATTTGGCATTTATATTGAAAATATGACTGATCCTGCCAAAACCTGTCTTTTATTTAAGGTCATATGAAGCCATTTATTATCACATAGTTACTTGGCACCTTTTTTAAATCATAATAATAACAGAAATCACCCAAATAGCCCTGTTCAAAAGTTTACATACCCTGAAATGTTTGGCCTTGGTACAGACACACAAGGTAACAAACACAGGTTAAAATGGCAACTAAAGGTTAATTTTCCACATCTGTGACTTTTTAAATTGCATGTTAGTGTATAAATAGTGAGTTTGTTACCTCTCATATAAATGCACTTAGGTGGCTAGATACTGAGCCATGGGAAGCAGAAAAGAACTATCAAAAAGCCCTGCATAACAAGGTAATGGAACTTCATAAAGATGGAAAATTATGTAAAAAGATAATATTCAAAGCCTTGAATATGCTAGCCAGTACTGTTCAATCACTTATTAAGAAGTGGAAAGTTTGGGGATCTCTTGATACCAAGCCAAGGTCAGGTAGACCAAGAAAGATTGCAGTCACAACTACCAGAAGAACTGTTCGGGGTACAAATAAAAACCCACAGGTAACCTCAGAAGTACAGGCTGTTTTGAAAAAAGTTGGTGTGGTTGTTTCAAGGAGCACAATATGACTATACTTGAACAAAAATGAGCTGCATGGTCGTTGTGCCCAAAAGAAGCCTAGGCTTTGGTCATGTTTTCCTTGTTAGAAGTTAGGATCAGAGTTTATATTGGCAGATTGTCTACTTCCATGCAATCATGAACAATTGCCTAGGCTTTCTTGTCATGTACCTAGCATCAGAGGAGCCTGGATCAATAATATTTTTTTTTATGATGGAAATTGAGCTCTTCTGATGCTCCTATTTAGCCATTCCAGCAAGCAACAAACAAAACTTCAAATTATGTTCAAATATACGTAGGTCCTTTAGAACTAAACAAAATTAAAAAAAAAAAAACCTACAACTTAATGATATGAGAGTAGCCACAAACAAATAGGGAAAAAAACATGAAGCAGGAACAAATAGGTGCACTTGTTCTTTAAATTCCAGTTTCGGGTGGTTGTGGCCTTTAGAGCAATACATCTATTTCATAGACTGGAAGTTTCCTTCTAGAAGGTGGTGGTTTCAATGATTTACTGCATATCCTAAAGGGTATGTAAACCCAAAAATGTGCATATATTGCAGATTACCAGTGCTAAGATGAAGTGGCTGTATTAAGTTTCTTTTTTAAGGCTTTTTCTCTACTAGTAACACATTCTTGTCCTAGAGTAAAAACACTCACTTACTGGACTGTATTTATGGAGGAGCAACCTTGTCAAACAAGGCTGGTTTCCTGACTTGGACTACAAACTTCTTCTCCTCATCTCCATACCATGGGGAGATGTTTTGCAGTTCACAGAAGACAACTAGGAAAGCTGATGAGATGGTTTGTTATATCAGTTCAGTATGCAGGAAGTTACAAGGATACAAGATTTCTAGCAGGATCAAAAGGAATTTTCTGTGTTTGTGGAAAACAAGCTATAAAAAAGAAAATAAATATAGCCACCACAAATAACGACTGGTAACCTGCAAAAAGCTTTTTTTTTTTTTAATTTAAATGTACTTTAGGCATATTTTAAAATAAAAACACAGTACAATACCTGAGTACATTTTATTTTATTAGGCAACACACTTCTTCAGTTTAATGGTATAAAAATACTATTTTTAAGTTAGGATCTCTTGCTTTTCCTGATCAGTGTTGTTGAGCCGATGCTGATTTGCTGCAAAAAAAAAAAAAAAACAAACCACAAGTTTATGTCAAGTTTGCATACTGACTGTCCTAATGCTTGTATGTCATTTGTTCTGACAGAATCCTTTAATGTAAATACTTTTCTATCTGTTGTTTCATTTACATACAGTATATAATATATATTAAAATATATTAACCTTCTAGAACAGGGATCGGATGTGATGTGAAGAGAGGCAGAGGACACTGTTTTTGGGGGGCACAGGACAGAGGACACTACAGTGAAAAGGGGGGGGGGGGGGGTGATGTGAAGAGAGGCAGAGGATACTGCTGTGGGGGGGGGGGGGGGGGTGATATGAAGGGGGGCAGAGGACACTACATTTAGGGGAGCACAGGATACTGCTATGGGGGAGCACATAGGGGCAGAGGACAAAACAGTGTGTGTGGGGGGGTGATGTAAAGGGGGACAGAGGACAATGCAGTGGAGTGTGTGTGAAAGGGGGGCAGGGGACACTAGAGTGGTGTGGTAATGTGAAGGGGGGCAGAGGACACTGCTTCGGGTGGGTACAGGACACTGCCATGGGGGGAGCAGAGGACACTACAGTGGTGGAGGGGGGGATGATGTGAAGAGGGGCAGAGGACACTGCTTTTTGGTGTCACAAGATACTTCTATGGGGAGGCAGAGGGGAAGATGAAACTACAGTGGGGGTGATTTGAAGGGGGGCAGAGGACACTGCTTTGGGAGAGCTCAGGACACTGCCATGGGGGGGGGGGCAGAGGACACTACAGTGGGGGAGAGTGATGTGAAGGAGCAGAGTACACTGTTATGGGGGAGCAGAGGACACAACTGTGGGGGGGGGGGGGGGTGATATGTAAAGGGGGCAGAGGACACTTTTATTTTTAAAAAGGACACCATTCCCCCAGGGATCTTTGATTTCCTCCTTGTTTTCCAGGTAGATCTCAATCTTTGAAAGGTTGTCTACCCCTGTTCTAGAATATAAGTCCTGTATATAGCATTCAGACTGCTACTGTATGTGGACAAGCAAAAACACAGGAAGTCTACTGCTTTTTAGGAAGAAGTTTACAATTCTTAGTTTTACAGTTTAAAATTTTTATTCTGTAAAGTGGACATATTCTAAAATAATCATATGATTGAAGGCCCCTTATTGAAGGCCCCTTAAACCCCGCCTAGGGAAAGGAGCCTTGCATGCTTGAAGCTTGGCAGCTACATGGGCGTCAACTGAAAATAGGGAGGTTAAGGTTAAGTGAGTGCATATCATTAGTTCATGGCAGATAAGAGTTCAGCTATTTAGGTTCCATGCATTTGATATCACGCCCACTTGGAGCCTGCATAGGCAATATGTGGTTTGAGGCATTTCAGAGTGTCCATGAAAGTATACAGCACCAGATTGTCTTTATCAGATTCCACAGTTGTATTCTATATTTTGCAGTTTATAAATGCTTTTCAACTTGTGTAAATCCATTAACAAAGCTTGCCAAACCACATATACACAAAGGAACATGCATTGATAAAGCTGGGTGTACTCCTGTGTGACAACAGAAGCTAATCTAACCGGCTTCTGTCAAATGGTTTTGATAGAAAATCAGCATGCAAGCAGCGCTTGCAGCCAATGACTGCAGCGCTGGTCTGTGTATTCTGATTTGGGGGGGATTGTGTCATCCCTGCTCTCTCAATAGAACAGCGGGAGAGATTCCTGCATCAATGTCATCAGTTGTGTTGATGCAGGGATCTGTTAATTTTTTTTTTTTTTCCTTCAACCCGCTGGTTGAACAAAAAAACCTCATTGTGTATACCCTGCCTTAGTGACTTTACTACCAAAGTCAACAGGGGTCCTCAAACCTGTCCTGTAATCCTCAAGATATATTTGGAGTAAATCCACACAGGTAGACAAATTGCTTTACTGACATATCAATTAACCTACCTGTGTTACCTGAAAAACATGCACTCATGTGGGACCTGAGAATAGGGTTGGGAAAACACTGTTCTAGAACAAGATATTCCAAAATGTATACATACTTCCACCATTTCATCTCCATTAACTTCTTGGATGTGAGTAAATTTGTCACTCTTGCAAATAAGTTTTCCTCCTTCTAGCTGTACAGTGACCTAAAAACAAGACAACATGAACATAACAAATATACGTGATCAGAAGTTAAATATTAGAGTTTTTGTTAAACCACAAAAGTATTTCTCTCAAAACATTATGTGCAAGAAAAACAAAATACCAAGCCTATTAGATTTTTTTTTTTTTGTGGTCCAAAGAAAAAAATGGTTTGGTTGTTTCCATAAGTATGTTCCACACTGAAGTGGGGTGGCTTGACACAACGCACTTTGCAGCCAATAAGTGCTGCTTCATCTGGAGTATCACTGGAGGTGGAATCATTTTGTTATAGTATGTGTAATGGTGCCCCATCCAAAAAGCCCAAAAGACCAAGCATGCACTGATACAGGGGTATCCTTTCTTGACTGTGACTTGTGTGTAATTTGAAACAAATGGTAATGTGTATATGATCACTGGAAAAAAACGATGCGTATAGACATCTAGGGGGTGGACCCCTGTGTCCCTGAGTACCCCTGTATTTGCTGGTACATGGGGAAATGCTGACTGTAACTTGTGTTTTGGGCTTGTTGGACAGGGAGCCATTGTACATATTATAACAATGTGATTACACTTTGCATGATACTCCTGATGAAGGGACATTTAATGGCTGTGAATGCCACACTGTAAAACCAGCATCAGAACAAGCTTAAAGTGGTTGTAAACCTAGAAGATTTTTTTTAATCTAGCCATTGGCTCCTGCTGCTGTCAGTCACAGCCAGTGGGTTGGGAGTGGCTTTGCTCTATGTGTCAATGGACACACAGAGCGGGATTCAGGAGCAAGCTCACATAAGTGCCTACATAGCAAGCGGCTTGCTATGGAGGCACAAGGCAGTGAGGAGGCGCCAGGAGCACCAGCGGGGGACCTGAGAAGAGGAGGATTGGGGCTGCTCTGTGCAAAACAATTACACAGAGCAGGTAAGTATGACACGTTTGTTATTGTTAAAGTATAATAATTGAAGGTTTACGATCACTTTAATTATCTATTTCTATTGTTGGCTTGATGAACATATGGATGTATAGCTGGGCAGAGATATTGGGGGAGGTGGATGAATGAAGATGCTCCTTGGTTGGAATACCCACAGGATGTTGCTAAGTGAGGCCTACCTGTTACTGCTCACCTCCTCCATCACAGGAGTGAGCACTCAGATGCTGAGCTCAGAGCTACTGTATCAGGGGAGAGAGAGAGCATGTGAGGGGGTCTGAATCAGAGAAAAAGCTCATTCCTGTGATGGTAGGGGTGAGCAGTAATGACTAGGCCTCACTTAGCAATGTCCTAACAAAGTTCTGGGAGTCTTCCAGCCAGGCTTCATGAGGTACGTAAATGGCCTACACCTATATCATAGACATTATTTAATTTTAGTCAGAGACACACAGTTTGTTTTTATCCACAGACGCCCCTTACCTGCATAGGCAGTTATTTGGTGAAGGTGAACTTTTTCTTTAACATACAGACCACAATAAAAAAACAGCAACCGTGTTAGCTTTTCCGTATTGTTCTGAACCTCCCTACCTTGATTACACCTCTCAGTTAGAATTGAGGAGAAATCACACCAAACATGGGTTCACATAACAGTATAAACCTCAAAGAGGTTCCTCCCTACAAAATTTCAAAATGAAAAAAGGGTTGACCAGCAACCTCAAACTGAGATTAAACTGAGATTAGTCTAGAGACCCTTAGGGTGACTATCCAGCACTTTTCCAGTTGATTTGCCATTCACTGGGATCTCCAAATTTTGTACTTCATAGGAAAGTGTAGTTCATACCCTATAATAATTGCATCCCATTTGGCAGTTTGAGACTATGGAGGCTTTTACAATCATTTGCCTAGCAATTCACCAATTGAAAATGCATATACAGTCATTCATGTGAATGTAAAAAGAAAAAGTTATTAGGTTATTTCCTGTGCTCGTTGACTGTTTTTCATTGATTTTACATAGAAAATACTGCATTTGGCTGCTGGATGTTGTCAAGTATCATCAGAAAATTCCTATGGTACTTAGCATCATCCAGTACCTAAAATGTAGCATTTTTAATTTTAAATCAAAGAAAAACATTCATCCAGCACAGTAAAAAGCCTAGTAACAAATGTACACACACTCACTTTGGCAAATTGCTATGCAATTTTTTTTTATAAATACACCCAATTATGTAGCATTAACAACAACAACAAACAACAACAAAAAAACCTACAAGCATTATCCTTTCATAACTCCGACTATGTAGACAACTTTCATATTGGTGTAGGTTAGGCTTAGGTTGTTACCTTGATTTTTTTTCCCACCAGCAGCTGTGATTTCTGCTTCCTTCCCAACAGTAAAGGAATTACTCTGAGAATGCTTTGGGGTCTTTGATGTAACAACAAAGTCATTTCCATTTTGCTGGATTTCAATCACTGGGTTAACATCTTTTGCTACTTTGACGATGTCATCAGGCAAACCTAGAATGCAAAAAGGTTGTATAATACACATAACACATTAAAAAAATATTTTTCAGAATTAAACTACTGAGTTTTTAAATATAATTCCATGAATCCTTTTCCAATGTGTTAGTTCAACAATTTCTGATTCATGCCCTATACACTTGCTCAAATGGACCCACTAATTTTACTATGGGTTCTATGATCAACCTAAGAACCTCTCTTTTTAGAAATTTTGGATACACAAGGCACAGCGTACCAATGGTTACAAAGCTGTCCCTGTGCTCAGAAAAGATGAACTTTTTTTTTTATCATTTAGCAGCCATGCTTTGCTGATTTCCTCTTAGCTGCAGTTGCATCACTGCACTGTCTACTCATAGAACCTAAAGGGCTCGTTCACACTTGACTTCTAACTCTTGCCAAACACCCCTATAGCGCTTGACAGGCGTTAGACAGGCATTTGGGAAGCTTTTTTTAACGCTCCTCAAATGCTCCCCAAACGCCCTATGCGTGGTTTTGAGGCGGTTGACAGGAGTTTGCGAGCATTAAAACCACAAATGCCTATAATGAAGTTAAATGGTATTAACACGTCGCAACCACACCGCAAATGTCTGCCAGGCATTTGAGGAGCGGCACTATAGACTTGAATGGGAGGCTTCAACTCCTCCTGACTCGACATAAGGTGTCAGTTTTGCCATGACGCGACGCTAACACTTCAGTGTGCTGCCATGTGCAGAATTTTCATAGGCGTTTGAGAACTGACAAAGCTAGTGTGAACGTAGCCTAAAAGAGGATTGGCAGCAATCAAAAAGTTGGGAGTTGATGACACTGATCAGGACTTAATTCCCTTGGGGTGAACAGCTGCTGTCAGCAGCAGTTAATAGAATAAAGCCAGCCATACATGATTGATTCCTTTTTTTTTTTGTTCAGCCAGCAGGTTGAATAAAAAAAATTAGCAGATTCCCCCATCCACACTTTTGATGTAGATGGGGAAATCCTTCCGCTGTGTTCTTGTATTCTGTGGGTGGAGAACCTTTCTTGCCGGCAGAATACGATGAGTGTTGCTGGCTGTAGATGGTGGCACTGATTGTTTGGAGAAAACCCAACAGGGTGGTTGTACACAAGCTGATAGACTGACTTGTGTTTAACCAGCTAGCCCATACATGGATTGAAATTTGTCTGGTCCCTGCTGAACAAACCGATATTTGATCCAAGGATGGCCCCTTAAGATTAAGCATAAAAATGAATGTTCTGCAGTTTTACAGGTACTCAGCATTTATATCTGAATTCTATAATATTGTATTTAATATTAAATAGAATAATTCTTCAGATAACTATTTCTGCAATCTGTAAAAAAAATAAAGTGCAATAAATGTCTGTGGTCTTAACATAGTCATATTAAGCATAGTAACCATGCAGCTACTATAATTTTTTTTGCAAAACAGTTTGTGATCTTTGGTATTTATGCCTTTATCACTCGAAAAATCGTATACTTCTAATTTATAGTCTTTATGCATCACAGTAAATAGCACACTTACCAGCAGCCTTCAAGAAATTTTCATAGTTCTCCTGAGAAAAGACATTCCAGGTCCCACTGAAGGCCATAGTGAATCTTGTGATGGATCGAGATGCACTTGTTTGGAAATGACAGGAGTGATATCACCCTTCTTTCACTAAGGCACTATATATCTGTGTAGACTAATGCATGTCATAATTATTAACTCGATGGTTATCAATTATTAATGATTTGTTTGATGGTAATGGAAATGACCCACAGTTCACTGTCCAGTGTTTTCTGCATTTGTGAATATTATGTAATACAGCCCTTTTTAGTCTGACATCCAAAAATGTACCTCTGAAGGACACTGTACAGTCTGTAAGAAACTATAATGAAAAAACATTGTATTTATTACAGGTACTTATATAGCATCGTTATTCACGCAGCACTTTACATCTATATTGTACGATCGCATCACTGCCTGCACTCAATGATCTTACAATCTAAGGTCCCTAACATTTTTTCCAACTCCCGCCCGCCATATAAGGAAATGATGGGCGCAAAGCTGTTCTCTTGTTCTGGAAGGATGTCATATCATATGACATCCTCCCACTCTAACTGCGCATGTGTAGCCCCGGCGGTGCGCAGCACGTCGATCAGTGGTACGCTGTGTCCCTGGGACACAGCAGATCACCGATCAATTGAAAGAGCTGATGACATCGGCTCTGTCATGTGATCAGCTGTGTCCAATCACAGCTGATCGCATGTAAATAAGGAAATGCCGGTTATTGGCATTCCTCTTCTCACGAGCTGTCACGCTGACAGCTCGTGAGGAGAGGAGAGCCGGCATTACTCAGAGGGGACATGTACACTGAACATCAGGACACTGATCATCAGGGGCTGATGATCAGTGTACCCTGATGGTCAGTGTAGCCCCATCAATGCCACCTGTCAGTGCCCATCAATGCCACCTGCCAGTGCCCATCAGTGCCTACCAATGCACATCAATGCCACGTATCAGTGCCCATCTGAGCTGCCTTTCAGTGCCGTCTATCAGTGCCAGTCAGTGCTGCCTAACAGTGCCAGTCAGTGCCGCCTATCGGTGCCATATATGAAAGCTGAAAATTAGCCTGGGCAGGAAGGGGGTATAAGTGCCCAGTAGGCAAGTGGTTAAAAGGGACAAATTAGACAGAAGCCAATTAACCTACCAGCGTGTCTTTAAAGTGGGAGAAAACCAGAGTACCCGGAGGAAACCCATACAGACACAGGGAGAACATGCAAACTCCAGAGAGGTAGTGTCATGGTTGCGATTCAAACTGATGACACTAGCGCTGCTAGGCGGAAGTGCTAACCACTTAGCCACTGTGTTGCTTAGTTAACAGTTGGAACAACTAATTAAGGTCATGCAGGCTCTGTGCAATCAGTAGGAGACCCTTAACAACATGAGTCAACCAAGTATGAATGCTAATGCTTAGTAAAAAGTACAAGAACTGTGGAAACTGTTCCTAAAAAAGGCAGTGAACAAATGGCTGGTCACAAAGATTACCACGCTGTGTTCTGCACTGTGACTCTATATAGAAGCAGTCATCTTGGTAGAAGTTTAGGCCTCATTCACATTGGCATTTTGGGATCTCAGGCAGAATTTCTGCGATTCTGCCTGCAATCCCAAATTGCACTGTAATAGTGTCAAAATGCATTACACGTGTTTGGATACCACTCATTTTTACTGGCACCTAAACGCAGTGTGGTTTTGCCATAATTGTCACATGATAAATCTTGCTCAGTCGCAGCAAACCACACTGCGCAAAGTTTGTCACCCAAAAGAATCTCCAGCTCCTTTTTTAGCATCAAGCTTCGCCATGACTGCACAACCCCAAAACGCCAGATGTGAATGGGTCCTTAGATCTTTGCTTCCTCATGTCAGAGCTGCCCTCTGATGACTGGTGATCTGAAGACTGGTGTGGTAATGTTCAAGAACCAGCAGGAGAGGTGTAGAAAGCACAGAGCAGAAGCAGGGAGATCATTGCACCGCAGCTTTCTTCCCCGCAAGAGGAACAGTAAGGCCTCATTCATACATATCCCCCCCCCCCCCAAACCAGTGTAAATGAGGCCTAAGTAGCATTGTAGTGACATCACCAAATCTCATGATGCAAGCAGTCACAGACAGTTGTGCCTGTCACAAACAGTTATAAAGCTGTATCCACAGAAGTGCCTAGGCACAGGAAGTATTCTGTAATTTGTATTGGTGAATTAAAAATGAAAAGGTAGATTTTTACGGTAATAGGGGCATTTACCATTTCTTTAAGATAGCCAATCTTCACTTTTTGTGTTCAGGTCCATATGTCCAGCCAAACATTTTGTTCTTAGCATTGGAAAGAATGGAAGGGAATCGGTAAGTACTGATCCCACCTGTCTTTAATTTTAATAACACCTCAGTACTACCTGTTACAAAAAATGTTGTAAAAATGCATCATACACAAACAAAAAAAATGCGCAAAAATGTAAAGTTATGCAGCAGCCCTCATGTTAACCTAGGGTTACAGTAACTGTTGTCAAAAAAGGGTTCTTTGGAACAGTGTTTATAAATACTGTTCAGGCAGGGGACTAAGACTGCATGCACATCTGCGCATTTTTTGGAAAGCACGCAAATGCTCATGCATTCCAGGAACATGCAAATAACAAGTGAACCCTGCGAGTCGCACTTGCAGTACCATTAATTCTTAATGGCACCCTAAATGCGGCTAGCAGACATGTCATTCTGTGTGTGGCAAAATGCTGCGAAAAGCGTAGTAAAAAACATGCAAAGCTGCATGCCCAAAAAAGTGCAGGAGCTTCTTTTGGCATTTTTGTCACGTAAGCCAGTGAATCGGCTGCCCTATATGCGTCAAACAGAAAACACGCAACATGCGTTTTTGCTACTCTAGGTATGATAAATACAAAGTAGAATTATTATTACCTTGTACTTACTTTATTAAATTCAGCTGCAGAATAAAGGTGTGACCTTTAGGTCCCATTCACACCAGAAACTGCGCGTTTTTCATGCATTTCCACGTGTCTTTACATGCTTTTGACATGCATCTACAGTGCATGTTCACAGTGTGTTTTTTTTTTTTTTTTTTTGCCATGGGGAACAATAGGACCTCTAAAGAGCAAAACTTGTTTTTTTGCTCCCAGTCGCATTTGTGTGTGTTGCATTTACACGCCTTTTCATGCAGTTCTGTGCCTTTGCATTGTGAAAAATGCAGCTTGCTATACTTTTTTCAGTCTAAAGGCATGAACTCTGCTCATTAGCAGACATTTGTTTTGGACTGTCTCTGCAGTGGGAGCACAATTTAAAAATACATCTTACTGCATTTGATTTGAATGAGCTCATAATCTGTATCTGATATTGTCAAATAAAACCAACTTAAATTAAATTTGCTTATTAACCCTTAAATTAGCCCAATATGCCCTAATTAATCTTTCTGCCCCCTCTCCCCTTAGCTCTTATTTTCATCCAGTTAACATCATGGCCGCACAGGAATCGCACAGGAACACGCTGTGCACTGCACCAAACGTTGTGCATGCACCACTTTTAGAAACGCATTACAACTGGATCTGGTACAGGCAAATGCACTGATTTTGCGACCTGCGTTTAGGGTGTCATTAACTTACTATTGACACCCACTGCAGACCTCATCTGCAGTGCGTTTCCCACACCGTGTTCTGGTGTGAACCGGCCCTTAAACAATTACTATTATTTGGGGTCTTCTGCAAAGCTTGTAATCTATTTTATGCATGCTGGTTGTGGCTGAAGGCAAAGCTGTGTGTTCAGATGAGAAAAGTCACATTGGGAGATAACAGTCTTATTGATCTATCTTGCCAGTGACCATGGCCTATAATATATTTGCTGGCCATATACTGTAAATATGCAATGAAGTTGAGGCTAGGTTAACATCTGTGCTTTGTGGTGCTGCTGCGGATCTGCACGAAAATCCGTGCACCACCCGCACAGAGAAATGTGGATCTGCGGGCGGGTGCCATTAGTTCTAATGGCACACCGCCCGCACTGGAAAACGCAACCGTACTGGGAACCGAGGTTCCCATGCGGGCTGCGTTTTCCAAAGAAGTGCAGGGACTTCTTCCCTGTGTGTCACAGGCACGGGAGTCCATTAAAATGAATGGGCTCTCGTGCCCGTTTGTCTTGACACATCTTTTGTGCTAAACATAATATTTTTATTATGTGTATATCGGGATCAGACAAATCCCAGGAGCCAGGTAGCCAATGCTCCTTAATAATTACAGCTGGTCGCTGTTAATATCAGTCAAATAATTGCCTAGGGGATCTGAGCGGATTTTCTCCTTTCCCGTCTCTCTCCCCACAGTCTTCTGGGACTTGGCACAGGTCCCAGAGAAGACTGCAGGAACAATCACAATGCGCAGTCTGGCTTGCACATGCACAGTGGGCTCCCGGCTGTGAAGCCACAAGCTGTCACAACCAGGTGCCGATGGTTAAGATGTTGGCACTGGGGACCAAAGACAGACCCCCGTGCCCCCTCGGGTGAGCACACCACTGGAAGCTGAAGTTTTTGTAGCTGGTAACTTTCAATTTTTAGAAACACAACTGGAGCTGCATAAACAACCAATGACTCATCCCTGCTGCTGACTACAGGGAGAAGTTACTGGTCATTAGGATTCTGATGGTTGGCAGCTCCTTAACAACTTGACATATGATTTAACAAAAAAAAACTCAATGGGAGGTGCAATTTTGGTGCTCTTTAAAAATAGCTCACAAAAAATGCGGCATGCAGGACTTTTCAAAATGCACCGCAAGTGCAGAGCACTGATTGAACAGTTACATGTACCTGTATCCAGCTGGAAAGGTCCATCCTAGATGTGAAAGGGTCTAAGTGGGACTGCATTGGGAGGCTGTTCTTTCATAGTCCCACCGCATGGGCAAAGCAAAATGCCTTGTTTCCTATGTGCCTGGTTCACACCATTGTGTTGTTATGATGTGTGGGCGCAGTGCACTAAGAAAAAGTACTGCATGTCATTTCCTTCTTTCCTCATTGTAGGTTAGTGTATTGTTCTTAGAGATGTGCGTTTTTGTTTTGTTCCAAAGTGAATT